TTTTTTTTTTTTTTTGTGGGATATGGGCCCTGGCCCCGCCCGGCCCAGTTGCCCGGCCGGTCGTGAGGACCCGGGCGGCACGGCTGGTAGCCCAGGAAAAACCAATACTAATAATAAAAATAAAAACAAATAAAAAAAGAATTAAATGTAGTGAGTGCGCGAGCACGTTTTCGACACCGCCATCTTTGGCGATTTTTCTTTTTTTTTTGGCATACCTAAATGCCCTGAAATTTTACAGATGTGTACTTCACATAATGCAAAACCCACTAAAAGCGTTTCAAAAAATAATAAAATTGTTTAGACCCCGAACTCAAGTGAAAAGAAAAAGTAAAAAGTGAAAAAAAATGTGGTCGAGCACGTTTTGACACCGCCATCTTTGGCGATTTTTAATTCTTATTTGGCGGAGCCAAATGACTTCAAAATTTATAGGCATGTACCTCACGTCATAGAGAATTCACAGAAAAAAAAACAGAAAAAAATATATATTTTTAGGCCCCGAAATAATTTTTGGCGGGGGCCAAACGCCGTCGGGTACGGACCCCGTACGGGACCCCGAACGCCCGTACGTACGGAGGTCTGCCCGGGAACCTCCGTACGTACGGGCTGGTGACCCTGCTCACAAGCCTAACTCAGAACGGAGAAATTACTGACTCGCCTGTTTGGGAAATCACTCAGGTGGCCCAGGCCCTCTCGGCCAATCGTATGTCCTTAGAAGTGGCTACGTGGCCGAGAGGCCTGCTCAATGAAATGTCCTAGCGATGGTGGAGGCCCCAGAATGCCACATCTTACCCCCCTTCCCCTCTCATGAGGCACCCATCAAGATTCTGAAATCGTTTTGCTTGATCCTTTTCTTCTTTCGTTTTTAATTGCTTCTTCCCTTCCCTTCCCTTCCTCGTTTCAAAGTCTGAAACTCATCCGAATCTTCTTTTTATTAGTAAACATATCCACACTAAACTCAAATCAGCTCGAGACCATCCTGAAACCAGCTTTACACCAGCTTTCAAACCCAGATGCAAACCACATGTCAACCAGATGCAAACCAGATGCAAACTAGATACAAACAACATGCAAAGCAGATGCAAAACCAGATCCAAAACCAGGTGCAAATTAGAAGCAAACTAGATGCATATCAGATGCAAATCAGCTAAAACCAGATGTAAAACCAGATGTAAACCAGAGGTAGACCAGACACAAACCATTTGCAAAGTTGTGAACCGACGTTGTGCTGGTATTCAGAGTCCTTCAGACCATATTCAACGATAACTTGAGCTACCTGAATCTGTTTTTTTTTCTCCTTTTTTTCCAAAGGCTAATTCTTTTAAGCCCAACCAAGTCAATTTTCTCTCGACACCGACAGGATGGCCTTTCAGGCCTTCTCATTATCATTTTAGTATTGTGGGGAACCTCGTAGCAGTCACATCCATGTCCGTGCCTCCAACAAGGGAACATGTGAGGGCTGCACCCGAGCTCCAGGCGGGCTATACCGGCCAGAGGTCAGCCCTTAGCGTCAGGGTCATGCCAACTGAACCATTCACTGCGCCTCATCTCCGGTCCCCTCACCTAAGAACATCAGCAGTATCTGCTTAATGCCAATGGCTACCTCTTCGTTCGGAAGGCAAAATAAAGCACATTAAAAAAAAAAAAAAATTAAAAAAGCATATTTGAATGCATTCCCCTCCCCCAAAGAAAAAGAGGAAAATGTGTTTTCTTTCTGGAATTCCATCGGGATTTTTTTATTTTGAACTACATCAATAAAAGTTATTACTAAGAAAAATTCACGGATGAAATAAAAAGAAAGAGAAAGAATATGCGCTCGGTTGTCCCAGACTGGTTGATGCATGCAGGAGGAGCCTACTGACATTGATCTCTCTGCCATCCCCGGGCATGTCCAACATCTCTCCCTCGGCAGAGTCCATTTCGATGACGTCAGCATTGCCATCCTCATCAAATTCACCATCTCCTAGCAAAGCAAGACACTCGTCCCACTCCTTCACTTCTTCCTGCAAGTGAGAAGACAAATGAAAAGAAAAGGAAAAGAAAAGGGGGGGAAAAAAAGACAAACAAAGTCAGATAAAACTGTTGGCAAAGCAGAATGGTTGTAAAATATATATTTTGCTGGCTTGTGATGGGGTGTGAACCGACAGTCTGTAGAGTTTTCCATCTGGCGTGGGTGAGTGATAGTCTGCTTTGATGTTCGCCACAGGTACCTTGACGACAGTTGTCAGTGACCACCTCAGGGTACCAGTTGTCGGGCAGTCGTTCATGCTTAACCACAACCGGGGTTTAAGGTGGATTATCACTTACAGCACTTACAGTGTAATCAGTTCGCAGATTCTGCAGACTATTGAGGGTTCAGCCTCCTGACGAGTCGGTGAAACTACAACGAAACAGTTTGTCACAGCTCCTCATTCGTTGTCCTCTTCTCCCTCTCTGCCTACGGTTTACCAGGCAGCTCTGTTTGACGATATATACACGTACATATAAATAAACATCCCCATGAAAACCCTAACAGGCAGGGTTGGTTGTTGGGTGGTTGGGCGGGTGAGAAAAGAGAACAAATAGCTCAATTCATTTCCACTCATATATAGATTACAATCGGACCAGAGTTCCATAAGCTCCTCTCCGGATTGCACAGTTTGGGCCTCTTTCTTTCAGCTTTGGCCCCGCTGGATTGTTGATGGTGCAATAACTCGGCTCAAATCTGCATACGCTGTGGGCTGTAGGTTGTCACTTTTGGTCAAGGCCTGGGCAAAGGCCCGAAACAGGGGTCAAAAGGCCTAGTCAAAGGCCCGAAACAGGGGTCAAAAGGCCTAGTCAAAGGCCCGAAACAGGGGTCAAAGCCCCCCTGTTTCAGGACTTTGACCAGGCCTTTGAACCCTGTTTTGGTGAAACAGGGGTCAAAAGTCACGCCCTAAGTCTGAGAAAAGCCAGCCACGGTCGTAGATTAGACGCACATCATGGTTGTCTGCAGGTATCCACAAGAATCCGGTCCAAGTGGGACACATGGAAAATCTGCAAAATCTGCAACCACGTAGCATCCAGGCCATTGGCTTTCGATTGATCCGGACCACCAACCCCAGGAGACCAGAGGGTGGTCAACGTGAGTCAACACTATAAGTTGACCCAGCCCCGGCTTGGAGATCATTCTGCCTTGCACTAGCTTGATGCTTGTTCGACACTGCGAAGCTGGGGGGAGATTATGCAGGCGCCAGCTTTGCTCTCTGGGCGCCAGCTTCAGAGGGAAGATTCTACTCGAGCGGCTTTCGGCGCCATAGCTTCACACATTGTGTTCAGATTGGGTGAGGAGGAGGAGGAGGATCAGGGCTGTGAAGACTGTGTGTAGAAGGACGGAAGCTTACCTGGACTTACCTGTTACGTCATGTGTGATATGCTGCTCGTCTCCAAGAAGAAGATATGTGACATCCTCCCTGTTTGCTGCTGACGTGGATGGAGGATGGGCGCCCTGTTGTGACCTGTTCATTGTAGGTGTCAATGATCACCAGAGGAGAACTGCATTCCTAACGTGGTGAGAGAGGGAGATGCCCGAGGAGGAAGTGGGCTAGAGGAGGGACTATTGCTTTATTAATTCTCGTGGCTACTCTCCTCCTCCTCCTCCTCCTCCTCCTCCTCCTCCTCCTCCTCCTCTCTGTCTCTTCTCCCTCTTCTCTCACTCTCGTCTCTGGAGTTCGAGACACTGCGAGATTGCATGTATTTCGCGCACGGACAAAAGTAACTTCTGGAGACATTTTTGCTGCGTCGAGTTTCAGACTTGTATCACGACACTGTTTGGCTTCCCATCGCGATCGGGTTCATTGCAATGGTCTTTGATGGCCCAAAAACCAAAAATAGGAACGACTCAGAGAAGCTAAGCATGGCCCCTGCGCAAGGATGACAGTCATCAATCGAGAAATGGTCCAAATTTAAAATAAAAATAAAAATAAATCACACTTGACTTCTGGTCAAATACAGGTTATGATGGGACCAGATGTTCACCAGGTCCTCCCCTACACAGTACACATCCTTTTTTTTCCCTTCTTTTAAAAAGGGCAACGGCCGTGGGATAAACTGACCGGCCCTAGGCAATTCAGGAATTTCGTTCATCTGGTTGGTTCCATCTGGATTCGAGCTCAGGTCTGCATTTCAACAGTTAGTTTATGGGTGTACCAACTGACCTAAGCCCGTTGGTACAGTCACAGTACAGATCCTATCTACTGAAGTTCACCCCTTTTTCTTGCTTTTTTTTATGTGGTCCAATGGACCACGCGTCAGATATTGAACTGATCAGACCCTTTTTCTTCTTTTTTCCTTTTTTTTTCCTTTCTTTTTCCAGTTTTGCCCCGATGGATGGATCGATGGTTCCCGATGGTCACAAGTTCAGTTCCTTACCTTTCAGTTTAAACTTCAAACCCCGCCTACTAGTACACCCGGGCTTGGCAGCCTTTCACTGCGCACCAAGCTTTTGCCGAACCGCCAGCAGCGCATTTGTTTTTCTCTTTAGCTGCCATCGCCAGTCATTGTGATCTGGTAGGTAGTCCCGAGCCTCCGAAATTTTCATAGGAGATTAAAGATTTCTCCACAAGGCTGGGGCCGTGTACTGGCAGTTTAACCCCGGGCCGTCAGGCCATGATTTCAGACCAATAGTATCAGCAGCTGTATATTTTTTTCTCTTTTTCCATTTCTAAATAAAACTCAGGCAATTGGTGTGCTCTGTAGCCGCGGGGTCTTTGCCTAGGGCCCACAGCAACTGTATATTCTTTTCTGTTCACTTCTGTACTTGTTGATAAAAAAAAACTCAGGCTACTGTTGTGTGCCCAAAGCTGGTCCGGTTTTATTTTTTCCCGCAATGTAAGAAGTGTTCGTTTAGCAAAACAGACAAACTCAAAACTCAAAAAAAAAAAAAGATGGTCGGATTTAGAGGACAAAACTAGCACTCGAACGCCCGATCATTATCGCTGAATCGAGACTGAAAATTGCACCAAGTACAGCTGTAATGATCGGGCATTCTGTTCGGGTGACGACGGTACAGTTCTAAATAGCGGAAAAGGCTCGCCCAATTTAGTGGTGCATAAAATGAAACCTGGTTAGTGGACAAAACTCGCCCAATTTAGAGGACAAGACCAGCCCTCGTTAGTGGACAGAAAAAGTCTTAATTACTCGACAAAACTAGCCCTAGTTAGTGAGCACAAGCCCTGGTTAGAGGACCAACTAGCCCGAGTCAGTGTACAAAAGTAGCCCTATAGTAGACAAATTTGGTCAAGATAGGGGAGAAAACTACCCCTAGCCAGTTCGTGGCCAAAAGTGGCCTTAGATAGTTGACAAACCGAGCTCTCATTAGTGGACAAAACTAGCTCTAATTAGAGGACAAAACTATCCCTCGTTAGCGGACAATACTGTCATGTAGTGCGGGGTTTCCAACAAGGCTCGAACATAGAACCAGTACAACTACGAAGGTCTCGACCATCCGGGCAAGGCTTCCTGATCGGGTAACGTACAGGTAGGAAGGTCTTAACCATCCTGTGAACAAAACAGACCATTTTCCGGCAACGCTTCCTGATTGGGCAATCTGCAGCTACGAAGGTTTCAGACGTGCCGTGCTCAGCTAAAGCCCTTATTCGGGAAGCCATTGTGATCTGGTAGGTAGTCCAGAGCTGAGTCTTCGTCCAACTACCCTGTACACCCGAATAAGGGCGTACTCATCTCTGGACGTGATTGGAGGCAGATTCATTTAGGTCAGGCTGCAATTGCAGTCAGACACTTTCCCCTCGATAGGGGTAATGGTCCTGAGTGTTGGTCACACTGAGGTAGGATAGTAGAGATAGGGGTTGCGCTAGGAGTATTGATGTGAGGATGGGATGGCAAGGTAGCCTCATTCCCTCAGGATGACCATGGCTGACTGCTCCTGGCGATCAATGTGTGCCTAGTAACCGGCCTCTACAACACCCTGGGCTTTCAAAAAAAAAATAATAATAATAATGAGAAGCATACCTTCGACATGGGGGGGGGGGGCCCTCCCCCACACTTGAACATAATCAGATCCATACCGGAAAAAAAATAACATGACATCAGACAAACAAGTTTTATACCTGAACCCAAAACTGCACCCCTGACTCTAAGAGTCGCACCCCCCCTCCTCGCATACCACACAAACCAATGTATACATGGGAGGAAGGGGATGTGGGGGAGACCAAGTCAGCATGCATGAAACCAGGCCAACGTGGGGCTGCCATACCGCAATAACTTTCGATAAACAGCCGCAAAAAAAAAAACGGCTGCAACACTTGAACATAACCGCAAATTGCTCAACCCCACAGCCTAGCAATCCGTTGACATTTGCCACACCACCTGCCGATTTGAAGGGCGGCCCCGTCCCCCACAATGGAGCATCACTTGCCAGTTACATAAGTTCAAGGATGTTAGTAAAACATTGTATTTAGATGAGCTTAGGGTGTCCTAGGGCCTAGAGAAAAAAGATCCTTGATCGTCCAAGATTTCCTCACCGACTGCCTCTCTCTTTCTTCCTTCGACAACACTCGAACAGAGCACAGACATAGACATAGTGCAGACATAGCACAGAAGAATGTGATCACTAGGAATGTGGTCCCCATATAACCCACCCGCCTGCCCACTTACCCACCCACGCACCCACACTCACTGAGCACCTACCTTGTTCTGCAACGGGCTAAACGTAGCATAAACATAACTCATAGCACAAACACAGCACAAACACAGCACAAACACAGCACAAACACAGCACAAACACAGCACAAAATAGCACAAACATAGTATAAACATGCTGCGCAAACACATCACAAACACAGCACAAACACAGCACAAAAACAAAAATAGCACAAAGGGTCGAACACAGAGACAAGCATAGGAGAAATACAGCACGAGCACACACGGCATGAACATAGCACAAACATAGCACATTGGAGGAGGATCCTGTTATACGAGGCCCCTCCCACCCMCCCGACCGCCGATCCACCCACCCGGAAGTGCC